CAGTACCAAAACATAATAAAACCAACAAACGAGGTCTACGAAAAAAAGCGCACAAAACCGATGGCAGACCGCGAGGCGGCGATCGTAGCCGAGGCATTTGGCTGTCTATATAAAAAAAAAGTACCGTGTAGCGGTGAAGCGGCGCTGAGTAGCGTGGAAAAGTGGTATGCTAAAGTGAGCAGATTAGTTGCAGTAGCGGAGCGGAGTGGAGACGGCTGTGTGGCAAGTGCGTTTCGTTGGAGTGAGGTCGAAAAACAACTGCGGCGCAACAGTTTGACATGGGAATGTATGCGGTTGCTGGGTAGGTATGCAAAACGATGGAGCAGAACTTTAATAAGCAAAATAAAAGAAATATAAAGAAAAAAGTCTTACCTACAGATAGCGCTCACAAACACATGACTTTACACTTGTTGCATTGTTGTAGGCGCGCTTATAGAGTTGTAGCATGCAAACTGCACGGACACTGTTGCTGCCGCTGAAGCGACGAGAAAGATTAATTTTCATTGTTAATTGGTGCAATTAATTATTTACAAGTCATCGTTTGGACAGCAGCGATTAAAGTCGGCCAAGGAGCCTGACAACTTGGCCTATCGGCGGTACACGGCTTAGCTGTGAACGTTTAGGGGAATCGACATGCATTCATTTACATAACTACAACGACTGAATGACTTCATTTCGAGCAGACCTGTTAAAGATATTTGAGAAAAACTATAATAACTTTACTAGCCTACAGCAAACTATAACTATACATATATACAAGATATTGTGGACTATGCATAGTGCGACCCAAACTGGTTTCCACCCTGTTGGTGGCATCCCCACGTCCATATTATTATCCTGTATGGACTGCACGTCCAAGGAAACATCGACGGCTTGGCGCCGCATTACACGCAGTTGCCAATACTGTTTGCTTGTGGAAGGGAATGACAACGCCGGCCGACGGTAATTTAGAAAGGATCTTAATGTGTCGATATCTATTTTGGAGATAAGTTTGCGAAACATGATATCAGAAAAACGATACGGAATGGTCAAAAATTTAATAGAAGGTCTGTCCAGATCCAAAATCACTTGAATCTTGAAAGTTATAAATGCAAGTTTGAACACTAGAAGGACATAATAATTAATTAGGTATATAATATATTCACGTGGCTTTAGATTTGGAGCACTACATTACCTACTCTTGGTTCGATAAAGGTTAGAGGGCATTCTAATTCCATGATTAGATAGAGGTAGGTGCATAAAAGTTTAGTTCTTAATCCGTTGTGTTTGCGTACTCAAATTTATCTTATTTTTACATCAAATATAGTTTTATGTGACAATGTATAGAGCCCGAAAGGGACGGGCCCTTGTCGGAAGTTCAAATAGAAATATCTTTATTAGTTCGTTTTCTAAAATCTGAAATAACCAATTAAAAAGCTTTCGAAGTCGGAACAAGAAGATTGATATAGCATTAATGATCAAGTCATCCCTCATCTTTCGAGTTGCGCCTAATTCAATATGCTCTGTCAGCACCGCGGTACACCATCGTTTCGTGAATTATCATCTTATCAATGCAGACTTCAACCGCTGGGATACTATACTCCAGTTCGCAGCACTCCACATATACCCCTATCACTTACTGCCGGGAAGGATATACATAGATACGTTCTTCAGATATGAAAACCATATGACAGCATTTAACTTAAGCGCGGAACAGAAATGTGAAGAAGAGAGCTAAGCAGGATCTAGCAGCAAACTACACGTGCAAAAGGACTTTTGGAAAGCAATGAGCACTGTCGTCAATGCTCCTTACCTACGATACGTACGCATCAGTCATCAGACTGATTGTAACCCATGGATCCTTAGTTTAATGAAAAGCTTCAGACAAAGAAAATAACGGCATATCGACTTATCGGCAGCTGCGTAATTTTGTCCATAATACGGCCTCAAAAATTGCCCTCAGACTCACTCAGAAAGCCAGTACGTGACAACATACCAATGTCGGCATTGCACTAATATTATATGAAATAAAAAGAAGCCGGCTTAATGGAATTAAAGCTGATATAGAATCACGGTTGTATACGGTGCTTTTGGTGGCCGACAGGTCCCGATGCTCCCAAGTGGCATAAGTTCGCCATTAAAATCCGTCGAATAGTCGGTTTGCTGTGCGTACCTCTGTTTTCCTCCCATCAGTAATGAGGAGAAGAACGAGATTATAAAAAGTGAGCTTACGAGGAGAAATTGATGCGCTAGACGCTTTAATAGGCCTCGCCTAATTTTCACTATTCCGAAAAGTTGGTTTGAAATGCACAATTTTTGGCAAAGAAGAAAGCTGAAGTTCTACTGAAATCTACTCGCTTGTACTTCTTTGTATTGGTGGTATCCCGTTTTCGTTTTTCGACAAGTTTTACTTCAAATAAGACGAACGTATGTATATGGTTTGTCCGCTATGTTCGTCTGTGCGCAAAAGCTTATTTTAATAAACTATCAATGGCATCGACTGGGAATTGAAAATCAATACAAATTTAGACCAAAGCGATGAGAAAGCGTATGAAATTCCTCATTAAGTATTTATAATTATTTTATTTTTTGTTCTCGATAAGAATATTTCCATCTATGAACAGTGTGGAAAACAGCGGCGCAAACCGAATGGGAGTGTTTTAGTTTCGAAGAAAATATATATTCTCGCGAAGTTTGTATACATATGATTCTTTAAAATATCAATACTTTCTTAAAATAATTTCGAAAACTGTATACATAAATAAACTCAAAATTTCGTATATAAAATTTGATGTACATTTCCGTAAAAGTTTGAAAGCTGTCCCTCTTGTCGAAGTCTTTGCCAGTTAAGAGGAACACAACTTTTTACTGTTTTATTTTGATGATTCGAAGCCCCAGTATATTAAAAAATATTCAGCTCAGTTCTGAGGGGAAGCTCAACTTAAAAAAAAACGTTTTAAGTAAGTGTTACCGTAAGTTGGTCAGCGATCGCTTTGATTAGCTCCTTAATTTATCTTACGTTGAAGAAGAGAAACAGTAAAGTTATACTCTAAAATTTATTGCTCTGCAATGTGTTTGTTTCAAATTAGTTAATAAAACTCACACATTACGTTTATGAAATTTGTGTATACTACATACGCCAACATCAACAGAATGACTTTATTTAAACCAAATTTGTCAAAGACATACACTTTTTCGGAACAATGTAATAGGCTAACAAACTTAAATACATCCAAGGAACTTTGAAATACAGTGCGCCACCAGGACGCTTCTCCAACTGACGCGCTGGCAATTCTTAAAGCTATAGCTGATTTCACTCATCGGACAATCCCTCATAGAAGGCATCCAATGCAGTATTGTTGACCACACCAAAGCTCCACTTCATGCGCGTATTCGAATTGTCACACATGTTCGCATAGACCGCATGCGTGTCCCCTTCGACGACAGCTTCCAGGCAGGCATGCCCGTTACGTCCGTGTACCAACCATTGACGTTCGCGGTCATAGTACCAGAACTGATTGCCACCTTGCTGATGGCATGTCCACATCCACACGGTGGCATTCTCCTGCACGGACTGCACGTCCAAGCAGATATCGCCATCTTGGTGCTGTAGGTCACGCGCATAACTCAGTTTCCAGTACTGATTGCTATGCGGATGTGTTTTATTTTCGGCGCAGTAGTAAAGACCTACAGGATGCTCGCTGCCTTTGCCCATGGTGTCCAAGCAGAAGTGCGGATAAGCTCGGCTTTGGATCGTACCGACAGCATAGGAAGGCGGTTGGATGGGTGGGAAATTCTGTAGAAGATCAGGTGCGACCTCCTCCAAAAACCACTTGAAGGACTTGCAGTTGAGGCGCTCACGTACAGCACGCTGCGCTGTCAAATCTCCGGCATCCACACCTTCGTACTCCTGTGGATTGCGCTCATACACGTACTGCTTGTATTCATCCATCCACACCTCTGCTACGCGTTTGTTGTTCTGTAAATCGAAAGCTTTCACTCGTATGTATTGTTAAACACCTGTAAGCGCGACCTACCTTCAGATAGAAGTTGTGCTTTCGAGGACTTGGGCGCTGGCTCATCGGCCCCCGAAATATGTGCGCCACGCGTGAACATGGCACGTCGAACAGCATGCCACCGCACATCCAAATCTTAAAACTCAGCTCGTACTGTTCTGCGCCCCAAATATCTAGTCCTTCATCGTAGCCACCTAACTCCCAGAAAAATTGTCTGCTAATCGCGAAGAGGCCACCCATCATAATGGGGCTAGAAACAGGCTCTGTGTTATTCTGATTTTGCCCCGGCAGCAAAGGCAGCTGCTTGTAACTTAGCTTCCAATCGAACGCACCACGCGATCCCGTTTGGTGTAACCCCGTGTAGCCAAAATGCTCATGCTTGATTACGTCCACAATCGGGCAAGTCGATATTTTGTAATTGACAGCAATCGGCTCGAGTAGTGGTGGCAACCAATTATAATTGCACTCGATGTGCGAGTCAAAGAAGACCAACACGTCACCGGTAGCTGCATGTGCGCCCGCTAAGCGTGCCGCTATCAGACCAGAACGTTCGGATAAACGTATGATGGTGACGAGGCCGCCGAAGTGCTCCGATACATATTCCTCAAGTTGAGTTTTCAGATACTCACGATCGCTGCTGTCGTCAACGATTACAATTTCGTGCAGCAATTCGCGTGGCGTGCGGTTCACAATGCTGTGTAGAGTGCGCTGCAAAACGCTGATGTGTTCGTTGTAGAAAGGAATGACAACGCTGGTGGACGGTAGTTTGGCGAGGTACTTGATGTGTCGACAACTGTTTGCGAGAGAAATTTAATTAATACGTGCCTGCATGCAAGAAAAAAGATTATACAAAATCTTCTGTCGCTTTAACAGCTCTGGCTAAGCTATTGCCTGTTCACATCTTTTGAACGAGCTGCGTTCTGTTACTATTATATGAAGATAAAGTTTTCTCTAAGAAAGTATACAGACAATAGGCTTAGCCTAGTTAAAGAAGTCTTAAGCCGATTGTCATTGAAAATCAAGTGAGTGCCGGGATTCCCGAAATGAACTACTTTACTGTTACCAAATCTGTTCAAATTATTGGTCCGCCTAACAAAGCTTCAGCCGCACCTTCAGGGTAAAAACCGTCTGAAAAGGAAGTGCTAAATGATTTCTATCTCTGTACCATGCAAAGCTCCTAGTCCTAGATACATATGGCTAATAATGCCTGTAAATATTGGTTTAAAGAACCTCAGAAAGCAGCGTGTAATTTACATCGTATGCCATGAAAGTCCCCAGTTAGGTTCACCTGGTTTATCTAGCCGCTCAAGCCTTCAGCTCAGTTCGGACTCAGCTTTCCATATCCTGCCTTAAACCCCTTATTCACGCAGTCGTTTTCTGTCTTGTTTCCTATAACATCGCTAGTTATGCCCGAATCAATATATGTATCTAAAAGGACCCTTGTCATTATTGAACAGCAATGGCGGACTGAGATGCAGGTTCATTGCATAATATGAGACTCGCTTGTAGGAGAGAATCGAACAATTTATTTGTTCAGTAATTAGAGTATTGACTAGTTTTGTACCAAGAAGATAAGATCCTTGAACTCAAGGTTGGGCTCCCTAAAACCTGTAGATGTTCAGCCAATTACAGTAAGGCTAAGGACTCGATTAGGTAAACAAAAGAATATGAAGGCGAACAAATTTACAGCTGCAGACGTTTGTTCCAAATGTCCCCCTACAGCACTTTGAATTTATTTTTCCGCCACACACTTACCCTGGATCCCTAGCGTCCGGCACCGAACGATTCACCGATATTAAATCCGATAGCAGAGCATTGAAACCATTCTCCAACGACATGTTCTTTTCTAGCTCCTTCTGGTGCTCCTCGGTTATGTAGGCCGGCTCGCCATGTTCCCCCAACCCCTCGCGCTTCGCTTCACGTTCCACTAACTCATTATCTTCCCAATCTTTCTTCTCACCCACTGCTACTGGTACTTTAAATATCCCCTTCACAACTTTTCGCTTTTCCTCAACATTCTGTATAACTTCATTTCGAATAGCACTTTGCGATTGTGGTGGCGCGAACTCTCGCTTTTGTACGGGTGGTTTTGGCGGGCGTTGGGTGTTGATGCGCGCACGTGGCACAACTTCTGGCGTAACTGGATCACCATTAAAATCCGTAACTTGGGTGGATGGCTCCACGGTCCGCAACCGTCGTTCCACCAGTATTGAGGTGAAGAACGAGAGTATGAAAATTGAGATTACGAAAAAGATAAGCCTACGCACCAGGCGTTTCACTTGGCGTCGCCTCATTTTCACCATCTCGAAGAGGTAAAGAATAAAACTGAACACTTGGCGAAATCTATAGACTGACCTATCTCCGTAATGGCCCACGCAACAAACGCTTTTGGACTGTTAGTATGTGTTGCCGAGCCTAGACGCTTGACTGTGAGTCTGCGACATATCGATTGATGTTCTTGCTGATAATTACAAACCTGCGATACTATTTGCAATTAAACTGAGTGTGTCTGACAAGTTGACACAATGTTCTAACAAATTTTACTATAGATAACACTATAAGTATGTATCTACATATATACATATATGTACATAATTTGGCAGAAATCTGCGTGTGTGCCCAAAAGCTTTGTTAATAAACTGTGACTCGCGTTAGACCGAAGCGTGAGGAGTTTTAAAAACTCCAAATTAATTTATAATTATTTTATTAAATGCTTTCCATAAGAGTAAGAGAGAGTAAGTAAAAAAATTAGTTTTCGTCTAGGTACAACGCGAGGCAGGGGCGCAGACATGAGGGGTCGGGTTTCATAGTTTGCAAAGATATGCAGGGGAAGTTTTTGTCAGGGTGTCCAGATTGCTTAAATTTTTTTTTTTTTAATTCATGAAATCGATTTAACAAATATTTTATTTTAAAAATGAGATCTTGTTATAATATAGTTTTTAAAACCAAAAACGAATATAGAACCGTCAGAGGGTAATAATTAATAACACAAATCACTTATATAATAGTGATGTACAAAAAATACGCATACTTTTAAAAATATTTGTTTCAACACATTTTGCAATAGGACTGCGAAATTATTAAATTTATTCATATCTCATATCATATTAACTTATTAATCACACAATCCGCTTTTAAGAGCTCAGCGCTAAAAATTAAATAAAAACCTATAATAAGGCGAGATCAGCTATTTTTACAATTTCTTCAAAATCACCTATAGTGTCTGAATGATTTACAATTCTGTTGTTGTCATATATTGGGCTATTCAACCTTGGTAACATACTGTTTGATATTGGAAACGTTTTGCAGCAGAAGCTATTAGCCTTCATATAACACTTTATTCGAACTATTGAATTAGGCTTTCCAATCTCATCCTATTTCGAATGTTATTTCGACAGCTGAGTGGAAGATCGACCTATCTCGGCAGCCAGTTCAAAAACTCCCTATCACAAAAAACCTTACAAGAATGCCCTATTTCAGAATTTTATTGGAAAACACCCTCAGAATTTGGTTGAAGAACGCCCATTCACTTCAAAATGTATGAACATGTGCTGATATAGAGCGTTTTTGAATCGGCAGCTGAGATAGGGCGTTTTTGAAACGAATTCTGAAATAGGGCGTTCTTGAAAAGTTTTTTGAGATAGATCGTATCCGAGCTGGTTGCCGAGATAGGTCGATCTTCCACTCAGCAGTCGATTTTTTGTTGAATTCATTACGGAAAAAACGCGCTCAACAAAGCATGTGAGTGTCGCAAGGATAATAATATGAACTAGAGTGCCAGTTACTGTCGAAGTTCGACAGTTTATCTAGTTTTAGAAGCCTTGGAGAGGATTTCTAACTGAACACGCAGCAAAACTTATACGGTACAAATTAACTAACCGGAAAATCTTCTGCTAAAACGTAATTATTTTTTTTTTTATCTGAGGACTTTGGAGGACTTCGGCAGGACTTGGAATTGACCCGATACATTCAAGTTTATCGATAAATTTCAATGATTTGATACATATCGATAGTTCGATGAATTTCAAGAACTCTAAAATTCGATAACTCAACAAAATTCGTAAACTCGACCAATTCCGATAACTGTGAAATTCGATGGCTCGATAAATTTAGATAACTCAAAAATGTAAAAACTTTGGATACCTTTATAAACTTTTACTTTTGACATCTCCACATTTTTCGAAAACTATCTAAACATTTTGATAACTCGTTACACTCTGTTAAGACGATTAAATGCGATAAGCAGTGGTAAATCTATAAGTTTATATAACCTTGAAATTTCGATAAAATGATATATTTTGAAAATTCCATAAACTTCGCTTCGTTGAACCAACCAATTTCAGTAGATCAATAATTATCGATAACTCTGTAAGTTGAAAGAACTCCATGCATTACGACACCTCGATATATTTCGTTAAGTCTATAAATAATGATAATTCAATAAATATCGGTAACTTGATACATTTCTTTAACTTGACAAATTTCGTTAATCCCACACGTTTTTATAGCTCGATAACTATCCGTAAATTTGGACAACTGAGTTTCTGTGTCTATAAATTTCGACAACTCAGTAAACATTGATCAGTTTGAATAATTCGATACGTTGCGACAACTTAATAAGCATGGATAAATTTCGATAATTATAAACTTCGATGATTCGGTAAATTTCAGTAACCTTTATGGCTGATTTTACTTCGATTCCTATCGGAAAATTTCAGCTCTTATAACCTAATTCTTATGTATTTCTCATTGTCTCCATTTTCGCCTTTATCTCAATTTTCGTCTTTATCTTCACTTTTGCCTTTTTTTTGTCTTCATCGTTATCACTTGTTTCTTCATCTTCATATTTATCTTTATTTCAAAGTTTAATTTCAAATACGAAGTAAAACAAAATGAGAAACGCTTGAATTGAACAGGTTGCAAAAACAACCATTAACAAATATGGAAATTTTTAAACGACGATTTTCAACCAATTTCGAAACTATAAAAACTCTCCTCATCTACAGAAAATTACTATCCAACGGTGTTTCTGGTTTTGAAATCGGTAACTTTACCTTGGTCTTCATCTTTGTTTTTATCTTTCACATCTTTGCTTATATCCTTTTCTTTTTCTATTCACGTAGATGAGAAGAGGTGCGATGATAAGATGTGACGTGATTTTATGTGATGTGATAGATGACATTCTATGTCATGTGTTGTCATATCCTCTGATATCATGTCATATGGTGTCATACCATATGATGTCATATCATGTGATGCCACGTCATGTAATGCCATGTCATGTCATACGATGTCATATCATGTGATGTCAAGTCATGTGATGTCATGCCATATAATGTGATGTCATATGATATGATGTCATGTCACGTGATATCGTTTGATGTGATATCATATTATGTGATGTAATATCATGTGATGTCTCTTCATATCATGTGATATAATGTGATGTGATGTCATTTAATGTGATCACATTCCATGTTCCGATTATTATATCGATAACCCTGTTGATAACTGTGTCGATAAAAATACCGATGACAATATCCATAAACATATAGAAAAATACAACGATTGCAAAATCGATTAATTCATCGATAAATATAACAATATCAATAACAATCATCAATATCGATTAACAATATAAATTACTAAATCGGTAACAAAATCAATTCTTTAATCAATTATTATACCGATAACAATATCCATTATTGCATCGATAACAATATAGATTATTATATCGATTACAATAGCGGTTATTTAATCAATAACAGTATCGATAACAACATCGATTATTTGATCGATAGCAATATCGATTATTATATCGATAAAAATATCGGGTTTTATATCGATAACAATATCGATCTTCATCCTCATCCTTTTCTTCATATTTATCTTTATTTTTGCATATTCCTCTTCACCTTTACCATAAAGTGTTTAAATTTACTTTTATCTTCGTTTTTGCCTGTACCTCTAGGCATCTTTGTTTTTGTTTTTATTCTCAAACCGCTAAACCACTGAGAACCATTTCCATGTGCATTATTCCCCTTGAATTCGGCAATTTACTCCCAACCAACCAACTGCCGCTAAAGAAGTTTCACTTCAATTCATACTAATTCTTATGTATCTGTCATTGTCTCCATTTTCGCCTTTATCTTCACTTTTGTACTCTTTTTTTTGACTTCATCGTTATCATTTATTTCTTCATCTTCATATTTATATTTATTTCAAAGCTTAATTTCAAATGTGTAGTGAAACAACAGGCGAAACATGTCAAATGGAACATGTTGCAGCAACATCTATACACAATTCGAAAATTTTTAAACGACGGTTTTGGCCGTAATTTTCAACCAATTGTGAAACCACTCTGCTCATCTACGGAAAAATGCCTTTCCAACGGTGTTCTTGGTTTTGAAATCGGTTCGGTAGAATCGCCAAACGAACGGAGACAAAATTTATGTTAGCGTATTTATATATAGATTTACTTATACATATGTCCAAACATTTTATTGTCTGTTACGGTTTTCACTCCGTAAGCAATTATCCAAAAAAGTTAGAAGATTTAAATATTCAGTTTCCGCTGCTTTTCTTTCCTTCAAAGTCAAATAGTGAATTCGCAGGTCCCTGAAACTCGCCCTCTTGTGATTCACACACTTTTCTGGTGACAAAATCAAACCTTTTTTAAAAGTATTTAATTGACTAGGTAATCGTTTCAAAAGTTCTTCGATTAGGGTGATTAAAAATTTTTGAGTATTTCAATATGCTTCTTAAGTCAAGTTTATCACGCAGTTCACTAGCCTCTTCTGTAAAATTATCGTGGAAAACTAACTTTTGTATATTATTATAATTGGGAAAAATTTATTTGAAGGAAAAAATCGCCAAAAATCGCCAATGGCGATTTCCTGAATTTTTACGCGCAAATAGTCAAAAAAATCGCCAAATTGGGGCGGAATCGCCAAATCTGGACACTCTGGTTTTTATAGATTTTATAAAATCCTTCCAAAGCTGTTCATAGAAAAATTTTCAATAGAACATGGAAACTCGAACAAGCCTCATACATTGGAACTCTTCGGACATCATAGGGTAAACGGCTCGAGCTTAAACGAATTATGCAATCGTAGAAACGGAATAGTAGTATTCTGTAGTACTGCTTATATTCTGATCATAAACAGACAATGAACTACATTAGACTTCCAAGCGCAGCATCTTAGAGGTGTTTAAAATTCCGCTCGATGAACGAAACGTACTGAGCTTTTTCAGTGTATTTATACACTAACAGGACACTCTGCTTTTGGCTGCAGGTTTAGAG